TAGCCTCCTCCATGTCTTTTCATAGCTTGCCGGATCATTTGTTTTTCTTTTAACATTTTATTTATTTATTTATTATTATTATTATTATTATTTTTGTCTTTTTGAAGCTGGGTCTCCCTGTAGCCCCAGCTGTCCTAGAACTCACTATGTAGACCAGGCTGGCCTTGAACTCACAGAGATCCGCCTGCCTCTGCCTCCCAAGTGCAGGGACTACAGGCATGTGCCACCATGCCCGGCTTATTTATTTCTTTTTTATTTTATATGTATGCGTGTATTGCCTGCATGTAGTAGGTAAGTGCACCTATGTTGTGCAATGTCCGAGGAGGACAGAAGAGGCTGTCGGATCCCCTAGAACTGGAGTTACAGACAGTTGTTAGCTGCCAGTGGGTGCTGGGATTTGAACCCGGGTCTTCTGCAAGAACAACCAGTGTTCTTAACCGCTGAGCCATCTCTCCAGCCCTTTTTTTTTAAAATAAATAATTTATTGAGAATTTCATACATGCATATAAGGTGTTTTGATCAAATCCATGCTGACTCCCTCCTGCCGGCTTATTTCTTTTTGGTACAAAGTAAGTGTGGTCCATGGTGATGACCCTGGCTATCAGTTAAGAGCAGCAGCAGCCATTCTACTACCCCAGGTTGCTGTGTGGAGGAGGGAAGGTGGCCCAGCAAGGGTGGGTAGAGAGGAGAGGAGAGGCCAGTTAGCAGTTGTAGAAATGACCCAGGCAAGAGTGAAGGTTGAGGGTAGGGAAAGAGGGTATTAAAGACATGATTGTGTCCTCTAGGGATGCTTGTGATGTGTGGAGATAGTTTGGTTGTCATAGTTGGGGTTGGAGCTTTACTTCGCATCTAGCCATGCCCAACATGGCTCCCACAATGGTCTGGCCTTACATGTTCACCATGTCCAGATGGAGAAACCCTGGAGTAAAGGGCCATGCTTATTCCTGGACATGCTTTGGAGATGGAGCCAACAGGATTTGCTTGCCAATTGACTTGGAGGGTATCTCCCGTCTCCTACCCATAGGCCTGTTCTTTTAATGATTTTGTTTAGTTTTGAGACAGGGTTCCATGTAACCTAGGCTAGCTTCAAACTCACTGTGTAGTTGAAGATGACCTTGATCCTCCTGCCTCCACCTTCTGAGTTGTGGGATTATAGGCATGTGCCACCGTGACCAGCTACTATTTCTTAGTATTTTCAGTTTAAAATGTTCTTTTATATTTATTTTTAGTTTAAAATGTTCTAATGGCATTTCTGTGAGTATATGTGTGTTATGTGTACACGTGCATGTGCCATGGCTTCTGAGTGGAAGTCAGAGGACAACTTGGGGAACCTGTTTTCTCTCTATATAATTTAGGTCCCAGGGATTGAACCCAAGTCATGTGACTTGGCAGCAAATGTCCTCTTTACCTGCTGAGCTATTTCAGCAGCCCTTAATTTCAGTTTTTTTTTTTTTTTAAAGTTTTTTATTTTGGTCTTTTTGAGACAGGGTCTGCGAGTAGCCCCAGCTGGCCTGAAATGCGCTATGTAGACCAGACTGGCCTTAAACTCACAGAGATTCGCCTGCCTCCTGAGTGCTGGGATTAAAGCACCACACCCGGCCCTTATTTTCAGTTTTTTGAGACAGAGTCTCACTATGTAACTCTGAATGGCTTGTAACTTGCTATGTAGACCAGGCTGTCCTTGAACTCACATAGATCTGCCTGCCTCTGTCTCCCAAGTGCTGGAATTAAAGACATACATGACCCTATTTTCAGTTTTTTGAGACAGTCTCACTACGTAGCCTTGGACTGACAGTGGTCCTCCTGCATCCCAGTGCTGAGATTAGGAGCATGCACTACCACAGGCAGTCTTGCATTTCTTTGACAGTTTATTTTATTTTATTTTATTTTATTTTATTATTTTATTTTATTTTATTTTTTTATTTTATTTTATTTTATTATTTTATTTTAACTGGGAATTATGTGTAAGACAAGCCCTGTACCACGTAGCCTTAGCTGGGGTCCAGGGTCCTTTTCATTTATAGTGAGAAACTTCCATGACTTCACAAGCTTATCTTGTGGGCGCTGCCATTCTTCAGAATACAGAAGGCCAGATTTCAAGAAATAATACAGAAAAGCTTCTCAGTATAACTTTTCAACCATCAAGAATTCTTCTTTAGAGAGTGTTAATGCTTAAATCAACATTTTAATGGAGTCTGTACTGACATGCAAGTTATGTTAAACAGTTGTCAGGACAAGTTGAGGCTCACCCTAGTTATGTTTGGTCACCACAGGATTCCCTCATCTCAACACTATTTTTCTGTTCTCTTGATTGGGACCCATCCAACTTCATTACAAAATGACCCATTGTGAAATGTAAGTACATTGTGATCTTAACTCCTATCCAAGGGATCCTTGAAGCTACAGACAGTTGTTAGCTGCCATGTGGGTGCCAGGATTCGAACCCAGGTCTTCTGCAAGAACAGTCAGTGTTCTTAACTGCTGAGCCATCTCTCCAGCCCTCTTTGACAGTTTAATAAAGCTCAGACATGATAACACATGCCTGCATCCTAGCACTCAGAGACTGAGGCAGGAGGATCTTGGGTCAAGGCAAGCATAGATTACACAGGGATCACTATCTGAAAATAAAGAGGAGCTGGAGAGATGGTTCGGCAGTTAGGAGCACTTGCTGCTCCTGGAGAGGACCCGGGTTTGCTTCCTGGAGAGGACCCGGGTTTGCTTCCTAGTACCCACAATCGGCGGCTCATCGTTGTCTGTATCTCCAGCTCCCGGGGATTCGACACTGTCTTCTGGCCTCTGGGGGCACCTGCACTCATATGAACATACCCACGCATAGACACACATGCACATAACTAAAATATGGAATATTAATGAGATGTTAATGTCTTTTTGTCAGGCTGTCTTTGGAAGTCTTGGATGTGCATTCTCCACTTAAATCCCAGTTTAGGTGTGGGATTTTCAGGGGTTGATATAAAATACAATTTTACCAAAGCAACAAGAATGTGTTTAATGGAAATATTTACACCATTTCAAGTTGTTGACTTCATGTTTCAGTGAACCTGAAAGGAGTAAACTCCTCAGTCACACTTGTCACATCAGGTCCTAGTGGCCTTGAGCTTTGCATGGCTTCTGTCTGCCTGAGCAGTGCAGTTATATCGGAGCTGGCAGATGCATCCCTGGACATCTCCTGCCTTACTTGGAGGCTGTCCAGAATTCTTAGTGCCTTTAAGACAAAGATTATGCATGCTCTGTAGCCTGGCTCTCTTGGCTTTGGGATTCCTTGTCTGTAAAATGGAGATCTAAGCCAGATGTGTTGGTGTATACCTGTGAGCCCTGTGCTTGGGGTGGAGACAGGAAGAATAAGACTCCAGAGGCATCCTTGACTATGTAAGTTGGATGTAGCTTGAGCTACATGAGCAGACCAAAATATCTATTTTAAAAGACCAAAATAAGGTCTAGGGCGATGACTCAGCTGATAAAGTGATTGCTGCGCACACATGAGGACCTGAGTTCAGATTCCCAATACCCATGTAAAAAGCTCAGTGTGTCATCATGTGCCTGTAATCCCAGAGCTGGGGAGGCAGAGATGGGTGGATGACTGAAGCTCCCTGGCCAGCCAGCCTGTCCTAATTGGGGAAGCTCCAGGTTCTGTGAGAAACCTTCACTCAAAAAATAAGGTGGGCAGTGACTGAGAATGACAGTAGACATTGACCTCTGGACTTCACATGCATGCACACGTGCACATGCATGAACACATAACATACACATATCTGTGACATACAGAAACAGAAAAAATCCTGAATGAGTGAATAGATAAAATGAGATCCAAGAGCATCCACCCATAGAATACTTGTGAAGATTAAAAAGTGATAATGCTTTCAGCAGATGAGTAGATAAGAAGTTTACCAGGGCTGGAGAGGTGACTCAGTGGTTAAGAGCGCTGGCTGCTCTTGCAGAGGATCTTGGGTTTGTTCCCACATGGCAACTAACAACTGTCCATAACTCTAGTTCCAGGAGGTCAGATGTCCTCTTCTGGCCTCTTCAGACACTGCCTGTATATGGTACACTTACACATATGAAGGCAAAACACTCATATACATAAAAATCAATTAAAACAGCAACCATGGTTTACCCTTATAGTGGAATTGTACCTACAGTGGAATGTTGTTGAGTTGTAAAAAGAAATGGATATATCTTGAAAACATTTGGTTGAATGAACAAAGTCAGATACAAAAGGTCTATATTGTATGAGTCCATTTATATGATGTGTCTGGGACAAGCAGATCCAAAGAGACAAAAAATGGATCCATGGTGGCGGGGGCTGGGAGAGGGGGAACTGGGAGTGGGAGTGACTCCTGATGGCAACCAAATGATACAATGTTCTGGAGTTAAGTGGTGGTGATGGTTGTAAAACCTTGTGAACATATTAAAAACCTCTGAGTTATATACATTAGAGGGTGAATTGTATGGATTATGATGATGAAGTATATGATGATGATGATGGTAGTCATGATGATACTGATGATGGTGATGATGATGGTGATGGTGGTCATGATACTGATGATGGTGATAAGTGGTCATGATATTGATTGTGGTGGTGATTATTGTGATGATGGGATAGTGATGATAGTGATTATTGTGATCATGATGAAGACGGTCCTGGTGATATTGATGGTTGTAGTGATGATGGTGGTACTTGTGATGGTGGTGATGGTAATGGTGATTGGGTGGGACTGATGGTTGTAGTGGTGATGGTGGTGGTGGTCATAGTGATGATGGTAGTGATGCTTGTGATGGTGATGGTGGTGGTGGTCATAGTGGTGATGGTGGTAGTCACAGTGACAATGGTGGTGATAGTAGTGATGGCACTCATGGTGTTGATGCTTGTAGAGATGATGTGGTGATGCTAATAGTGATGATGGTTGGGTGGTGGTTGGAGTGGAGATAATGGTGGTGGAGCTGTGGTAACGGGGATCTCAGAGCCTTGCCTCTTTGTCCAGGTCTTGTCCGAGAGCAGGAGGCTGGGCTGCTGCAGTTCCTCCGCCTGGATGGATTCTCTGTGCTGATGCGGGCCATGCAACAGCAAGTGCAGAAGCTCAAGGTCAAGTCGGCGTTCCTGCTGCAGAACCTGTTGGTGGGCCATCCTGAACACAAAGGTGAGGCAGCCTGAGTGGGGAAGCAGGCATCCTGGGATGGGCATGTGGGGATGTGGGGGTGGTGTGGGGCCTCCCCTCCCCGCTGACTCCCACAGCTCTTCCCCCAGGGACCCTTTGCTCCATGGGAATGGTCCAGCAGCTGGTGGCTCTTGTGCGAACAGAACACAGCCCTTTCCACGAGCACGTGCTTGGAGCCCTGTGCAGGTACGCTGGGGCCCCAGGAGGACAAGGCCTTGGATGAGGCCCCCACAGCAGGAGCAGCTCCAGTCTGCCTGCCAGCCTCCATCTGCACTGGGATCTGGGACTGGAATGTGTCTTGTGGGAGATGAAGAGTGTAGGGCCAGGAAGTAGCAGGGCGGCACAGCCTGTTTCCACCCAGTGCCCTGGGGGAGCAGTGCTTTTGAGCACCCAGGAATGTTCAACCTGTGCACCTGTGCCTCAGGATAGCTCTAAATGCTTCCCAACACAAAATTGTACGCTTATTTAAAACATTGCTTTTAAAAAAAACAAAACTCAGTTGTGCCATTCTTCAGCATGAACTTTGTAGATGACACAATTGTGTTACAGTGGCCAAAGGTGGGATGCACCTGAACCATGACAGAGCCGGTGTGGACTCCATGCAGAGCACTATCAAGCCTTATGTTCCCCACAGTGCCGTATGGTAGCTAGAGGGCAGATGTGCAGGTGGGGAACACAGGAGCAGGGGTGGGGACTGTGGCAGAGAGGCTCCTGAGGTCTGCTCCTGTGTCCCCTGTAGCCTCGTGACGGACTTCCCCCAGGGTATGCGTGAGTGCCGGGAGCCTGAGCTGGGCCTGGAGGAGCTGCTCCGCCACCGCTGCCAGCTGCTGCAGCAGCACGAGGAATACCAGGTAGAAGGTGGAGAGCATGTGGCCCTGGCCCTGTGGCCTGTGGGCTCCATCTCGCCCTGCCTCTTCTCCCACCCATCAGCAAACACAGAGGGCCGCATGCTGTGTCGGGAGGGGAGGGAAACCTGTGAAAAAAGAAGAAATTTGGTTTGTTTGTTTTTTGAGACAGGGCCTCACTATGTAGCCCTGGCTGATGTAGAACTCACTATGAAGACCAGGCTGACCTCAAATTCACAGAGACCTGCCTGCCTGTGCTGGGATTAAAGGCATGAGCCCCACATCCAGCTGAAAAGGAGGAATATTTAATTGAATATTTTCATTAAATGGGTAAAAATGATAATCATTTAATTAGGTATTATGGTTAGGTATTATGTACCCCCAAAATAATAAATATCCTTATATATTTAATAGATAAATTTAACAAGATAATTATTGATAATTCTTTAGATAGTAATGATCACAGTTAATTTAGTATTTATAATTATTTAATAAATGATTAATGACCAGATTATCCTTTTTTAAATTAAAAAAATTTATGTGTATGTATGCCACATTTGTGTGGGTGACTGTGGAGGCCAAGGGAGGCACCAGAGCTGGAGTTAAAGGCGATTATGAGCCACCTGATGTGGGTGCTGGGAACAAACTGAGTCCTCTGGAAGAGTAACGAGTGCCCTTAACTGCTGGGCCACCCAACCCCTGATTATTTGTTTTTTAAATTTAAGTATGTATGTATGTGTGTGCACACTTACCACAGAACTTGTGTGGAGGTCAGAGGATAGCTTGCAGGAGTCAGTTTTCTCTGTCCACAGTGTGGGTCCTGGGGATCAAAGTCAGGCCGTCAGACTTGGCAGCAGGCACTTTTATCTACTGAGCCATCATGCTGGCCCTGATTACTCATTTTTGGAAACACCTGCTACTTAGATGGTGCCACATTAGCAAAGCCAGGCATAGCCGAGGTGCACCTGGATGTCCACATTCTGTTTCGTCAGTGCCTCTGTGGACACTCTAGGTGTTTACAGGACACTGATGACCAGGCCAAGCAAGACACCTGCCGCCAGCTGTCTGTTTTGACCTCATCCCAGGAACCTGTGGCCTTAATGTCTGCAGGCAGCAGAGCAGGGGAAGCTGCAGCCTGGCCTGGCTGGTTTCAGATGGGGAATGTGGAGTTCATATGTGCTGCATTTGATTTTGTACCCCCGTAATCTCCTGAGTCTCTGTGTGCCAGACTCTGTGCTGAATGATTCCAAGGCCCACCTGTGAGGCCAGCCCACTACCTGAACGGGTAACCTCAGGTGAATGAACCAATACTCATTTTTCTTAAAAAGTTTTTTTTTTTTTTTTCCTCAAAAATATAAATAGGGCCAGGTGTGGTGCATACCTTTAAGCCCAGCAGTCAGGAGGCAGAGGCAGGTGGATCTCTGTGAGTTCAAGGCCAACCTGGCCTACATAGTGAGTTCCAGGCCAGCTGGGGCTACAGGGAGACCCTGTCACAAAAAGACCAAAAAAAGGATGCGGAACACTCGAGAAATTCACCTGTTGTCAGCTTCTGGTCTCCACTCCCTTGTGCACACACATACACTTGCATATATCTGTGCACACACACAACCCTAAGTTGACCTCTGGTCTTCATATGAGTGCACACACATGTACACTAACATACACACCCCTTCCTCTCAAAAAGTACAGCTTTAAAAAATTTTTAAATTTACTTATTGTGTGTGTGTATGTGTATGTGTGGGTGCCTGTCTGCCATGGATCTTGTGTGGGGGTCAAAGGACAACTTGTGGGAGTCAGTTCTCTCCTTCCACCATGTGGGTTTTGGGAATGGAGGTCCTCAGGCTTGGTGGCAAGTGCCTTTACCTGATAAGCCATTTTGCTGGCCCAAGAACAATTTTTTGAGCCGGGTGTGGTGGCACACACTTATAATCCCAGCACTCCAGAGGTTGAGAGGAGGATTGGCTTGAATTTTAGGATAACTTCAGCTACATAGTGAGTTCAAGGTCATCCTGGGTTACATTGTGAGACCCTGTCTCAAACCTGCCACCCTCCCCAAACAAAAACTAACCTTTTGGGTTTGGGGATGTAGCTCAGTGGTAGAGTGTTTTCCTGGCATGTGCAAGGCCCCTAGGTTCAATCCCCACTACTCCATACAAAAACCAAACATGAAGCAAAGCAAAGCTTAAAAGCTACTTTTTATATGCTTTTTCATGTGTATGTCCATAGAACACACCTCAAGAAGGGAAATGCTGGTTTTAAGCATGTTAAAGGTGCACATTAAAGGGTTCTCCATAGCTACTAAGTGACCAACTCCTACCCCATTTGCTTTTCTTCATGCTGACTGGTCAGAGTAGCATTCCGGTCCAGGTCACTTTTTTGCCCACAAGCTGGACATCTTTTTCTTGTGAACCATTTATTCACATCCTTAGCCCATTTATCTGTTTTTTTTGCCCCCCCTTTTGAGGAGGAGATATATGTTGTCCAGGTTGGTCTTGAACTCCTGGTCTCAAGTGACCTTCCTGCCTAGCCTCCTGAGTAGTGGGGTTTACAGGCATGTGCTGTGCCCAGATGGGCAGTGGCTTTTACAACATATTTTTTTGAGGGGCTATTGCAGAATTTCTCTAGCTGACCTCAAACTGAAATGCTCCTGCTTCATCCTCCTCAGTAGCAGTGATCACAGGCACCTGCTGCTGTGCCCTTCTTACAGTGGATTTTATTTTTTTTCTTTACATTTACTTAGTGTGTTAGTGTGTATGTGTGAATGTGTGTGGGCACACACGTGCCACACTGAGTGTGGCGATCAGAGGATAACTTGTGGGAGTCTGTTCTCTCCTTTCACCATGTGTATCCTGGTGGATCAAACTCAGGTCATCAGGCTTGCAGCAAGTGCCTTTATCGGCTGAGTTTGTCACTGGCCCTGGATTTTTTTGTGTGTGAAGTGGGGTCTCACATGGCCCAGGCTGGCCTCCAGTTCACCATGTAGTTGAGGATGGCTTGAACTTCTGATCCTCCTTGCCTCTCTCTTCTGAGTGCTGGGATTATAGGCATACACCACTGCGCCTTCACCATGCAGTGCTAGGGATCAAACCTAGGGCCTTGTGCTAGCACTCTGTCAACTAAGCTATAGCCTCTGCCCGATAAAGTGGCTTTGAGTAGAGAGTCATGGGTGATTATCTGGGAACCGGAAGGGCCTGAGGGAGCTGATGCAAGGAGACCAGTGTGGGGCCCCAGGCTCTAGCTCAGGAGTTCACAAGCCAAGAAGAGGGAAAGTGAGTCTTGGTTGAGCAGTAGCTGTTAGTAAAGCCCAGCAGCTTCTGGAGTGGGTGGGTGTGGAGAGGAAGGTTCTGGCAATGGAGTATGCTGGAGGTGGGTCTGCCTTGCTCTCAGGATGACTCTCTTGCCCCCAGGAGGAGCTGGAGTTCTGTGAAAAGCTTCTGCAGACCTGTTTCTCCAGCCCAACAGACGACAGCATGGATCGGTGAGCCCTGGAGCCTGTTGCACTCTGCGTGGGAACCCCAGGCCTCCTGCCTCCAAGGTGCCCTCTCTCAAGGGAGTGCTGTGCCTGCTGGGGCCTGGACCTGGGCCTACCAGCCCATCTCTGAGCAGCCCCCTGGAGGGGGTGCCAGGAAAGGTGTGGCTCCTTGGACGCCCCCACTCCTACCCTGCCCTCTCTGTCATCCTTCTCAGCACTGCTCTTCCAATAAAGGTGTTTCTCCTCCTCCCGGCACAGTCCACTTTGTCCTTGAGAAGGCTCTTGGGGAAGACAGGAGGTGTGAGTTTAGAGAACTCCTAACAAGCACCCTGCTTTTGGCATCTCTTGTCTCCTTGTGCTGGGACCATCTAGCTACATTTATTTATTTTGAGGCATGGTCTTACAGTGTAAGTCTTGACTGACCATGTAGATCAGGCTGGTCTCAAATTCACAGAGATCTGCCTGCCTCTGCCTCCCAAATACTGGGATTAAGGTCCTATGCCACCATGCTCAGTCCCTACCCCTTTTAAAAAAAATCTTTTTTATATGTATTTTTTTTCTTTTAAAGTACATTTTTTTAATTTATTTACTAAGTGTGTGTTGGGGGGGGGGCACGTGTGGAGGTCAGAGAACAGCTTGTGGGAGTGGTTCTCTCCTTCTACCATTTGGGTCCCAGGAATAGAACTCAGGTCATCAGGTTTGGTGGCAAGGGCCTTTTCCTGATGAGTCAGCCTGCGGTCCCCAGAAACAGAATCCCTGAATTCTCTTAAATTTGACTAGAGGTCCCAAGGTAGAAGCCATTTTCCCTCCTAGCAACCCTTGTGGCAGCATAGTCTTGTGACTGGCTCTGCCAATCAGAACTGACCAGAAGTCTCTGCAGGAACCAGGATGCCCCGGGAACATTCTGGCCTGGGAGTGAACAGATGCATCTGGCTTCTGAAGGGGTGTGTAGAGGCCCTGGTCCTAGATAGCCGCTAGTGATGGCGGCTGCTCTGTCCTAGGAACAGGCCTGTGGTTGGGTGTGGGCTTCGTTTGGACTGCAAAAGGCAAACTCTGGAGCCTTCTCAGAAATTTGAGGGGCATTTCCCCACCCCTTTAATAAGTTCCTAGTTTGGTTAAAGGTTTTATGTGAAGGTTAATCTTCACTGTCAAGTTGACTGGTTTTAGAATCACCATTGAAACGTAGCTCGACTGTGTCTATGAGGGTGTTTCCAGAAATACTTAACTGGAGAGAGAAAAGTCACTTGAATATGAGTGGCACTGTCCCATGGGCCGGGGTCCAAGAGAAAATAAAAAGGAAAAAGAAGGGGGCTGGAGAGATGGCTCAGCGGTTAAGAATACTGGCTTTTCTTGGAGAAGACCTGGATTTGAATCCCTGCACCCACATGGAGGCTAACAACTGTCCTGTCGGTAACTCCGGTTCCAGGGGATCTGACAGCCTCTTCTGTCCTCCGTGGACATTGCACAACATGGGTGCACTTACCTACAGGCAGATGCAATGGCCTACTCCCTCACACCTCTGCCATCATGATTTCCCCACCAGGACGGACTGTACCCCCAAATTATGGGCCCAAATAAACCCTTAGGTTGCTTTTTGTCAGATATTTTATCAGAGCAATGGGAAAAGTAACTTGCACCTTTTGTCATCACAACCAAGACTATTTTTTGAGACAAAGTTCTCATGTAATCTGGGATGGCTTTGAACTTTTGATCCTCCTCTCTCCACCTCCTAACTACTGGGATTACAGGCATGAGCTACCACATGCAATTGCAACCAAGATTATTGACATATTCTTTTTATTCTTATTTTTTATAAATTAAAAAATATTTTATTCTTTGTGTATGAGTGTATTGCCTGCATGTATGTGAGTGTACTCGTGCCGTGCAATGCCTCGGTGGTCAGAAGAGGGTTCGGAGTCCCCTGGAACTGGAGTTAAGGATGGTTTGTAGCCACCATGTGGGTGCTAGGAATTGAACCCGGGTCCTCTGCAAGAGCAGTCAGTGCTCTTAACTGCTGAGCCATCTCTCTAGCCCCTTATTTTTATTTTGTGTCTATGAGTGTATTGCCTGCATGTATGTAAATGCACCCATGTTGTGCAATGCCCATGGAGGTCAGAAGAGGGTGTTGGATCCCCCAGAACTGGAGTTACAGATGGTTGTTAGCCGCCATGTGGGTGCTGGGAATCAACCCCAGGTCCTCTGCAAGAGCAGCCAGTGCTCTTAACTGCCGAGCCATCTCTCTAGCCCCTACTGACATATTCTTTTTCAAGAGGAAGTTGGTTTCAGGGTGGTCAATTTCTGGCTCTGTACATGTAGTGAGAATTCATGCCTAGACTAGACTAATCCTAAAACCCATGTTTCTCACACTAAAATTTATTTTTGGAGACTGGAGAGATGGCTCAATCTCTCAATCTCAACCCAAGTTTGAACCCCAGCACTCACATTGGGTAGCTCACATGTGCCTATAACTCCAGCTCCAGAGGATACATGCACACACACATAGGCATAAATATAAAATAATAAAACAAGTCTTTAAAAAAGAGTTTCAGTGTTAGGGGACTGAGTAGATGGCTCAGTTGGTAAACTGCCTACTATGCAAACATGATCACCTGAGTTCGGATCCCCAGAACTCAAATAAAAAGCTGGGCATGACCTGGCATGGTGATAGAAGTCTTTAACCCCAGCACTCAGGAGGCAGAGGTAGGTGGATCTCTGTGAGTCTGAGGCTAGTCTATAGAGAGAGTTTCAAGTCAGCCTGGGCACATCGTAGTGAGACCCTGTCTCAAAAACAAAAAAAAAAGACCCCCAAAAAACAAGCTAGGCACAGTGGTGTGTGCCTATAACCCCAGCATTGGAGGGGGATGGACAGTCATGACATGAAGATCCCTGAAAGTCATTGGCTAGCCAGCCAGTCCAGCCAAATTGGTGAGTTTCCAGTTCACTGAAAGACTCTGTTAAAAAAAAATAAAGGCCGAGTGTGGTGGCGCACACCTTTAATCCAAGCACTTGGGAGGCAGAGGCAGGCAGATCTCTGTGAGTTCAAGGCCAGCCTGGTCTACAGAGCAAGTTCCAGGCAGCTGGAGACCCTGTCTCAAAAAGATCAAAAAAAAAAAAAAAAAAAAAAAAAAAAAAAAAAGAATGATTAGCATCAACCTGTGGCTTTCACATGCACACACACCTGCATGCACATGTGCATACTCACACTAACAAGGACACACGATATATACACAGATGGAAAGTGATCAAGAAAGATACTTGACCTCAGTTTTTGGCCTCCGCATGTGCATGTGCAGGTACACACACACATGCACACACACGCACACACACTCACCTGTACTAACATGTACAACATACACAAAGACTAAAAAGCTCCAAATCTAGCCGGGCATGGTGACCCATGCCTGTAAATCCCAGCACTTGCTAGGCAAAGGCAGAAGGATCCTCACAAGTTTGAGGTCAATCTGATGTACCTAATGAGTTCTAGGTCAGCCAGACCTGACACCGTCTCAACAACCAACCAAACAGGCTTGCTGGTGCATGCTAGCAATCCCAACACTCGAGAAGCAGGGGCAGAAGGCTCAGGAGTTCTAGATTATCCCTGGCTACATAGTGAGTTCAAGGCTAGCCTGGGATCCTTGAGACCTTATGCATCAGCTACTTTTTGTTGCTGTGATAAAACACTATGACTAAAATTGACTTCATGAAAGAAAGTTTATTTTGGTTTATGGTTCCAGAGGGAGAGCCCTAATTGTGGGGGAGGTGTGGCAGCAGGTGGCCAGAGCTGGAAGCTGAGAGATCACATCTTCAACCACACTCACAAAGTAGAGTGAACTGCATGTGGGGGTGAGTCTGTAAACTCTTAAAGCCTTGTCCCTAGTGACATACTTCCTCTGGCAAGGCTGTACCTCCTAAAGGTCCCATAACCTTTCCAAACAGCACCACCAATTGGGGATCAAGTATTCAAATACCTGAGCCTATCTGCTTGCCACTAAACCTGATGACCTGATTGGATCTCCAGGACTCATGGTGATGAAGAGAACTGACTTCTGCATGCTATCTTCTGACCTCCACACTTACACCGTGGTACATGCACACCACATAGGTAGATAAAACAAACATATGTAATGAAAATTAAAGACACAAGATGAAAGAAGAGAACAGAGTGTTGGGGATGCAGCTCAGTTGGTAGAACGTTTGTCTTAACATGCACAAAGCCCTGGGTTCAATCCCCAGCACCCCATAAACCAAGTGTGCTTGGAGCATGCGGGTAATCCCAAGTGGATGGCAGAGACAGAAGGATCATTGGGGTTTGCTAACTGCCAGCCTAGTTCCAGGTTCAGTGAGATACTATCTAAAGAGACTAAGGCGGAAGGCAATAGAGCAGGATACTGACTGGATGACCTCCTTTGGCCTTTACTTGCAGACCACACATACACACACATATACAACGCACAAACACACAAAGAAAACCATCCTCCCCTACATGGTCTGAGACCACCCTGGACTTCATAAGGCTCTGTCTTTAATAATAATTTTAAAAAGGTGGAAGGAAAAGCTCAGCAAACCTGAGGAGACAACCTGAGACCCTTGATTAGACTGGGCAGTGACTGACCCCTTCCCTTCCACAGTTCCATCTCTCTCTATCTATATATGGGCTTTTCTACCCCATATACAGAGTATTCAATTGTTTCTTGATGTTGAGCATGCAACTTGCTTTGACTAATGAATGGTGGAAGGCCTGGGGCCGCCACAGACTTAAAATATAGCAACACATTTAGGCTTGGTCCCATGTCTACTTTTTCTTATGAGATGGTGCTCTGGGCACTGGGACACACAGGGTGTGGTTTCAGTGTTACCAATTTTCACTTTATGCAAGTGGTCTGTTATACAGCACTAGCTATCTGATACAAGGACCAAACCAATAGCATGTGGGAAGAATACATTAGAAGTGTCAGGGTGCAGCAGACACAGGACAGAAAAGTCAACGCTATACTCTAAGAGATCCACTCCCCGTTTTGAAGAGAGGAAGCTTTATGCAGCTACTGGCAACAGTCAAGACGTGGCCTGGGCAAAGACCGGAGTGAGCAACGAAGTCAGTTAGAAAGCCCCCGGTAGCGAACCTGGTGGAACAAAAGCACCCAGCTTCGGCGGAGGAGAAAAATCGGAATGGATTCTTCTGCTTGGAGGAGACGGAATAGCGAACTGAGGTCCTAAGGGACCGAGCGCGGCCAAAATTCCTGGAACGGAATATTCACTGAGTTTTGGAATGGAGTCTTAGAAACTAGGTTGCCGGGGTGCCGAGGCGCTTGCGCGCAGCGAGCAGTCCGGGTTTATTTAGGGAGAGAGCGTTGGCAACGGCCGGCGCAGGCGCACAAGGGACGGCGGAGTTCCGGGTGGGCGGGGCCGGTACGCCGGAGCCCAGAGCGCACGCGCACTGCGGGGCGGACCGCGCGGAGTCGGGGCCGGGAGGGTGGAGCCTCCCTGGCGTCCTCCCGCGCTCGGGGCATTGTGGGACAGTGGCGGAGCTCGCCGGGCGTCGGAGGCCCTGAGGCGGACTGCGGGGCCAGGGGGAAGATCCGGCAGGCTTCAGGGAAGCCACGGTTGAGGCGGCGGGCAGCGGGGCTGCGTGTGGCTCTGCGGTCCGTGGCGGCTGCGGGGAAGGCGGCTTTTTTTTTTTTTTTCCCGTGTCCTGCTGGTGCCGGCTGGTGTGTGGAGGGGAACCCCGGGGCCACTTCCCTTGGCGTTCCTGCTCCGAGGCGCCTGCGCGGGGGGCCTCGCGGCTGCCTGGACGCGAACCCCTAGCTTGTCGCTCAGCGGTGAGGCCGGGGTGTTTCCCCACTCCGCCAACCAGAAGGGCCCGCGAGCCCCAGCCCGCCCCGGCGCCTACGCGGCCGCCCCATCTAGCCGGCCCCGCGGCAGGGCCGGAGCCGCCGGCGGCGGGGCGGCGGGGGCGCCCCGATGAGCCCCGAGTGCGAGGAGCCGCCGCCCCCCCGCGCAGGTGAGCCCCGAACCCGGACCGAGGCAGCCGTCCCGGCGTGCACTCCCCCCCGCCCCCCGGCGAGTCTCAGCCCCATCCGCTAATCTAGTCCCTTGTCAGCGTCGCCAAGTCCATTTCCTCCCACCCAGGCCTCTGTCTCTACCGCTCTGTCTTCAGTCCGGGGGGCGGATTCCCATGTCCCTTCTTTACCCTCTTCCTGCAGCCCACCCACTCCATGTCTTCTCCCCGCGACCCACATCACCTCCACCTGTCATCCTCTGACTCAGCTCTCTTGGGACTCTTGGGGCCCATTCCCCGGTCGGCACCTTCCTCCCCCTTTGCACACCTTCCTCTTTTCTTCCTGCCCTTCCACTCTTGCCAACCTTCATGGACTCTTGAACTCTGATTGTCATCCTCTGCCAGAAGAAGCAGGCTTTTCCTTCACCTTGGCTGTTGACTGTTCGGTCCTGGCTGTCCCACCCCGGCTGTCCCGCCCGTGGCTGACTCTCGCTGCTTGTGGGGAGGAGGCACTTGGGGAGTTACGGCTGGGTGCTACCATTGTGACATGAGGCCTTGCTGAGGACAGGGCTTTGGCTGCTTGGTGCTGGGGCCATGAGGGAATGGTCAGCCAAAGAGTCGGGTCCATACCCCAGGGAGACAAAGGCAGAGTTGGACAGTCACAATCACTGTGTGTTGTGATGGTGGTAACCCAGGGCGCTGTGGCAGGAGGCCGCAGAGTGGGAGAGACGGGTGAGACTGGCCGGATGGGTGGCTTTTTCTGTCTAGGAAGGCTGAGTAGGAGTTAACACATGGAGAGTGGGAAGAAGGGCCTTCCGGGTGGAAGAAACAGCACGTGCAGATATGTGAAGGTGGGAACGCTGGTCGAGCCAGGAGGAATCCGTGGGATTGAGTGGGTTGACTACAGAGGCTTTGAGAGTGGAGGGGGCAGAATGGCTGTGCTGGTGCTGGGATGTCTGTGACCTCATTAGGGGCCCTGTCTTGTCTGTTTTGGGTGATGGTGCTTGGGAACCAACCTAGGAGCATGCTGGGCAAGTGCCCCTCTACCTCAGAGCTAGAGCCTGAGCTGCCTCCTCCAGAACCTGAGCCTCCACCTCCGCTTTGGAGACAGGATCTTACTAAGTTATTGAGGCTTGCTTTGAACTCTGCAGAGTCCAGTCAGGCCTTGAACTCGCAATTGTTCTGGCTCAGTCTTCCAAGTAGCTGGGAGTACAGGCCTGTGTAACCTGGCCCAGCTGGCTGGGGTCTTTTTTGATCCCTCTTATGTATAGAGGTGTCTGTTCTGAGGCCGTTGCCTTAACACCTGCCTGGAAAGCAAGATGTTTCTGGAAAGGAAGCTGTGTTGTCTGTCAGATGTGGTACTGGGGTCAGAGTTGTAAAATGGCAGTGGGCTTGCTTGCAACCCAAGGATGAAGTTCTGTCAGCATAAGACGAATGTTGCAAGGACTGGATTGCTTGAGAAACATACTAGGAGTGTTTTTTATATGCATTCCGTGTAGCACTGTGTTCAGTTCACATAGACTCACTCGCTGCACTCTGCCACATAAACTCAGTAGGGGTGGGATGGAGTTGGAGTTGTCTTCTGTTTAAAATGCTGTTCTGTGGTGTTCTTTTTAAATTTTTGTCTAACACGAATTATTTTGCCCAGGTTCAATGACTTAACTCTACTTTTGGGATTGGAATAATGAAGAAGCCTTTAGAACAAAAATTTTGTCAGCTAGACCTAGGTCTGAGTCCTGACTCTTGCTTTTCCAAGTGGTGAGTCCTTGGACAGGTTACACAAGTGTTCTGTGCCTCCTCTTCTGTAAGTAGGGGTGACAGCAGTGCTGTCCGTGGTAAGAGGGGATTGAGAGGGTGGTTTTGGGGATTGAGTGCAGTGTTTGTAGATGTCTGTACGGAATGCAAGGCACAGCAAGTGCACCAGAATCAGCAGCTCTTAGGATTAAGATCTGATTTACAGTAATACATTTTGGTGGTTCTAAGTAGGTGTGATGTGTCCCCTAGGTGGGGTGTGGCATTGTTGGGAGACCTTTATTTTTGGTTGTCACAACTGGAAGGCAGGAGCAGGTATATGACCAGCATCTGTCTAGTGTATGGATATCATAGTCAGGGATGCTGGTCAGAGTCCTGTAATGCACAGGACAGCCCTGAATGTCATTAATTTGGGGAGAACTCTAGCTTTAATCCTTGAGTATTTTGTGTCATTTGGGCTTGTGTGTTGTGTGAGCTAATATGTATTTTGATTTACATTCATCTTGTGGTGGTTTACTTTGGTTGGGTCATGTGGCATTTTTTTCCATTAGAGGAAAACCTCATTTGCGCACACACACACACCTTTTTTTTTCTTTCCCTCCTTTGGGATCCCTGGCCAGGTGACCTTCACTGATCATTTTCCCTCTGGCTCCAGTTTTCATTAATCCAACAACTAGCTTTTTTTTTTTTTTTTTTTAAAGCCAGTGTTTTATAGTCCCTTCTGATCTTGAGCGCACCATGTAGCCAAGGATGACCTTGAACTTCCAGTCCTCTGCCTTTGCTTCCCAAGTGCAGGGATGCCAGGGATGCCTTATTGATCCTGGTTTATGTAGTATACTGCATTCTAACTCAGGGCCTCATGCATACTAGGCAAGCACTCTGCCAAATGAGTTGCATCCCTAGCCTTCAGTAAGTTCCTTTAGTTTGTACCTGGTGTTATATGTAGATCCTGGGCATTTCCAGGAGGTAGCAGGTGCCTGAACAGTGTTATCCTTTCACAAAGCTGAGACTCAGATGCTGTTGTAGGGCGACCAGGGGATGTTATGGAAGGAAGCTTGGCAAGGCTTCTTGGAGGAAGTGGTGTCTGTATCAAGAGACCTTGAAGACCCTAGGAGGAGGTAGACAGACTCAGAGCTGTAGGGTGGGTGGAGGGAACAGCCCAGCCCTTCTGAGAGCAGGGAGTTGAGGTGCAAGTGTGGAGGGCCTCTTAGACTTGCTGCAAGGGACAGGTGAGAGGCCTGGGTGCTGTGGTAAGAGGGAATTACCCAGCTTAGTGGGGATACACCTATGCCAGACCAGGGTTTTCCCTTTGCACATCAGTTTTATGACTCTACAGGAAGGGCTGCCTTACAGTAACCCCATCTATGAGTTATTTCCCTGGTCAGAAAATTGAGGCTCAGTGGGGTCACGTTCTTAGTTAGGCTGCACAGACTTCATTTTAGAGAGATAAAATTGCTGGCTGGTCAGGTGCAGTGGTGCGTGCCTCCGATCTTAGCTACTTAGGAATCCAAAGCAGGAGGATTGCTTGAGCTCAGGAATTTGAAGCCAGTTGTGACCAAAAAAAAAAGACTTAGGTCTTTTTAGTTTAAAGGCAGGATTTTACTGTATACGTAGCTCAGGCTAGCTTCAGCTTCCTGAGTACTGGGATTATAGGTATGTACCATCAAGCCTGGTTTCCCTTTCTGTTTTTCTAAGGGTAGTTTCAAATCTTTCAGCAAACTCTTCCCGCCCCCACTTTTTAAAAAAAAAATATTTATTTTTTGTGTATGAGTGTGCTGCCTGCATGTTTGTGAGTGCACTCGTGTCATGCAATGCCTCGGAGGTCAGAAGAGGGCTTCAGATTCCCCTGGAACTGGAATTAAGGATGGTTTGTAGCCGCCATTTGGGTGCTGGGAATTGAACCCGGGTCCTCTGCAAGAGCAGTCAGTGCTCTTAACCGCTGAGCCATCTCTCCAGCCTCATCCTTTTTCCCCTTTTAACCCAAAGTAACTCCTTACTCCTGGAGTACTAAGTGTGAACCTTCAAGTCTGCTCCCCCGTCCTTGGCTTTCTAATGACTGCTGACTCTGGGGTTGGGTCAGAGCTGCCTCTTGGCCTAGGAGAGTGGTTCTGAGGTCAGGGTTAGGCCCCTGGTTTGTTCTCTTACTAGGGTCCTACGCCCCAGGCTTTCCTAAGCTGTGGGAAAGTCCCAGCACCCAGGGGCTCCTTCTCCAAGTGCTTGTCCCCTGTGCCTACTTAACCAGGGCAGTGGTGGTGTGTTCTGAAGTCATGCACTGTGGGGCCTGGCCACAGCTGCTTAGGTGGTTGTTACCTTCTCTGCATCCTTGGAATTGAGTGTCCCAAACCCCTTTTCCAGATTTGGCCAAGAGTTGACTGTGGCATTAAGCTAGAGGCATGAGGTTTTGTCTCAGATTCACTCAGCCTTTTAAGGAGCTAGCAGGCCTGCTGTTGGTCATGGGGGTTTTCTCCCCTCCTAGAACATCCAGCTGGCCTTGTGGGCCTGTCCTGATGCTGGAGCCTCTGCTGAGACTTGGTGCAGCTCAGGTGGCTCTAGTGAACGCTCTCCCAGAGGCCTTTCTGTCCCTGTCCTGCATTTCTAGATGGTTGAAGTCAGGGCAAGGGAGGAAGGATTGGCAGATAAAGAGCCTGTCCATAGGTTCCCTAGCAGGCAGATTGTTAGCCACGACAGTGGTGGCTGCAGCAACAGTGGGGACAGTGTAGGAACCACAGTGAGGCCCTGTCTGAGCCAGGGAGGGAGAAGGTCCAGGGCCTGGCAGGCTCCTGAGAAGGAACTGGTGTCAGAGACCATAGAACAACAGCAGAACAAGAAGCCAGAGGTGACAGTGGTGGCAGCACAGAGGCAGAGGTGACAGTGGTGGTGGCACAGAGGCAGAGGTGACGGTGGTAGAGCACAGAGGCAGAGGTGCTTTTTGTTTCTGATGGCTTTCTTGCTTATTTATAATTCTCCTTCCGTTAGCAGCCAGTCTTGGTTTTCAAACCGTCTCTAAAACCAGTGGTAGTCACTTCCGTTTTCTTGAGCTTACTGAAAATTGTAAGGTGGGGGTGGCGGGGTGTGTGTGCTGAGTATCTAAATGCTCTGAGGAGAAGCACTTGTCATTTGGGCAAATGTTGAGTCTCCTCCTGCTTTTCTGTTTTAAGTGCTGTCACCCTTGGTGTAGTGACTATCTCCTTCCTACATGTCCTGCTTCAGAGTATCTGGACATGGCCTCAGGGACAGCCTGGAAGGGGCTC